TATATATATATATATATATTCAAGTCAATAAGTCAATTTAAAATTCATTAAAAATCCTGATCCCTCATACCATTTCCCAACATTTACTAGAATACAGCTCTTTTATACAAATAGACCTGGCAAGACACCTTAAAATTCTCACTGAAACAAAATATTTTGCAAGAATAATGGTGTATAGAATGAAGTGTTCCCAGATGTCTACATGACTTTTAGCTTGTACCAAAAGTTTTTATAAGTTGTGACATTTACCTTACAGATCTTAATTAAAATCAGGAATGCATATGCAGGACATCTGGTCACAAAACTGATATTTTGACCAGATGTGTATTTGGGTTTTAGCAGCAACAGTTTCTCAAGACCAAATGTAAAAATTTGAATCTTTGTGTAAATGTAGTCATAAGTCCTGAGGCTCAGTGTGCTCAGTCTCCTTTTATTTTTAAACACCTRCATATGTATGGAGCTTTATGTTTTCCAGTCTAACACCTTTTGGGTTGCTTCAAACTACCTCAGTCTCTCTGCTGCTTTTTTATGTCTTTTGTTCTGTAAGAACAGCCTCTTCTGGAGTATGATTGGCTTATAGCTTGTCTGGATTCTGTTGCTCACTGTGTGGCCTGACTGTGGCCACCACTCTGTAGCCTGTTGGGCATCCTTTACTCATCTGTAATGCTCAAATCTTTCAATCTTTATTTCTTACATGCAACAGATGCACTGTCTCCCGAGGACGTAAAGCTCGCAGCTCTTTACATTCAATTAGATTTTCCAGACTATGGTACCCATCTTTATCTTTTCTTACATTTACTGTATCTAAAATATTAAGTACATGCAAATTCACAGTATCTCAGTGCTGATTTGTTTTGTTTCCTCTTTTTTCAGTCACTCCATACCCAAAGCTAGAGCTCCTCTCCTCCGATAAGCTTGTGGATCTGGGAATTCTGATGTCGTCCAACACATGTATTCTGATTTATGACTCTTCAGTTTGTTTTGTTCTTTTTCAAAGGCCGGCACAACTTTTAACCAAGGCACTAAGATGGATTTTATATTTTTTAAACACTGCATCATGAAGTGAAGTTATAATCTAGTTGTTTGTACTTAATGCATGCAGTAGCAAAAGTCGGATTAAACTACTGACATGTCAGAATCAGGAGATTCCTTCGAAAATGTGCAACATTTTGATTTTATGCTTTTATAGAGAAAAATCTATAGCTGCAATGAGCAACAGTGAGTTCTGTAAATAAGTATAAAAAAAATCAATGTGTGCACTTGTACTGCCATGCAATATGATTTGTATTAGTTTCAGCTGCATTACTTTAAAGCTGTACATATGTCAACATTATACCGAGTTTGTATTTTGTAAATATTTTGTACTGTTAAAATCATGCCATGAAACGGTCCTGATGGGGCCGTGTTTAATTTTTGTTAATAAATCAATAGATATTTGACTAAAGCAAATAAAATCAGAATTTTTAAAACATGCTCAAATGCAGTTTTGTTTTACATCAGTATTGACCCGTTCCTGTATTGATAAACTAGAAAGTAGCCAACCAGAAGTCTTCGATTTAGAATTAGACGTTTTCTTAAAACTACTTTGCAAAAGCATTTATTGAACAGTGCAAACAACAAACTCAAGAACTGAAATGTGAAAATTTTTAAAGTAGAAGGCAAGTGAGCTCTGTTATTTTCCTGACGACAGTGCAGGAAAGTCTTCTGGATCATCAGGATTAGGTGCCAGACCTGCTTCTTCCTAATTAGAAAACATATGATCAGCTTTGAGACATTCCCTAAATACAATACCACATCATACATTGTAACTATTAAATTGCTCCACTTTTGATACATTTAGTATTCTGCTGACTGTGGAAATGAACATACCCTGTCAAATGTGGGTTTGGCTCTCTCAGAGCCAACACTCTGACCACCCCGTGCTCCCCTTCCTCTGCCACCTCGGTTTGGGCGTCCAAGACTCCCAAAATTGATGTCCAAGCGGGTGGTGATGTCATTTACAGACCTGCGGAGGAAGTTCCCGTCGTCCTCCATGTCCTCCGCAGCATCCTTTGAGGTCTGAAAATTAGAAGCGAGTGCCGAATTAAGAGGAGCGATAAAAAAATGTGATTACACTTTCAAACTGTTTTTGATTAGGTGTTCATGTTTTGCCACAATTTCATGTATGAAATCATTTTTTAAAAAGAATTGATACAAAATTGAAGAATTGGTTTTTGATGGCTAATAAAATATTCACTCCCTCGTTTGTTCTAGGATTCAGCCAGTTAGCTTGACTTTAAAGTTCTTTAAAGAAAGCTGACGTCTATTGCAGGTAAAACACTGACTACTTGTTTCACTGTTACACTATAAAAATAAAATAAAAAAAACTATGGGCCATATGATTTGCATACATTCCTTTAAATTCCCCACCTCCAGATACTTGGACTGGTGGATGACCTTTGCTTTGGAGGGGATCTTGTCTTCGGCTTTGCGGATATTAAACTCTGCTTTGGGACGACTCATCTCCTGGAGGGCCTTCCACTCATCCAGGGTCATCTCCATGGCAACCTGGACCACCATCTCATTGTCTTCATCCGTTGCCCTGAATCGTGAATGGAGAAATTCAAATGTATTGCAATACTGATACTATTTTTGGCACYTGTCCATCTTTTCCCTGTGTTTTAATTTAAGAAAATCCCAACAAGCAACTCACTGATTTGGATTCTCCTCCAAAGGTATTTGGGGTTCCTCAGATTTGACAGCAGACATCGTTTCCATCAGTTCACTTCAGAAATAAATTTAAAAAAAAAAGGGCAGAAACTGAAATTATARTACCCAAGTAAACAAGTTGTCACACCCAAACTGAAGTTCACCAACCCTGCAGCTTCTTCAGCGCAGCCCCAGTTCCACGGACCTCTTCCTCCTCGCTTCTCCTCTGTACAGATCCSCCTGAAATTATTACATTATGACTGATGATCCACATTAAGAGCTTTTTCCGTTCCTAAAAAAAAAAATCAAGTGACGAGGCTTACGTTCCATCGTGCCGATCGTATTCTCTCTTGCCTCTCTGATAAAAGTTTTCAGAGTTCCTTGCGTGTCCCCCACCTCTTGTTCCTCTTCTGCCTCTGAGCCCCCCTCTGCCGCTGAAGTCTGAGTCGTCATAGGAGGACCTGTCAGCCAAAAAAGTAAAGATTTGAAGATGTTAAATTTGACTGAACACGAGCAAACAATGCAGTACAAAAGAAAAAAAAAATAACGCACATTAATTATTGGCGTTGTGCTTTTAATGCAGAATATCTGCTCCTACATACTTGGGGACTGAGAACTCCAGTGTCGGCTCTTCTTGGTTGGATCTACGCTGCCCTGCAGCAGCTCTTCTTGGGTTCCTCTGGGCCTCAAACCTGCTGTCCTTCTCCATCACTGCCTGCTGCTTACTCACTGAGGACACAACCCAAATTACTGATAGCTTGTGTCACCAATTCATATTTTCCCACATAAATTACAGAATTAAATACCTAAGAACTAGCCAGTCAATTTAAGAAATGGATCAGCTTTATACTTTATAAAGCCTTAGCCTTTTAAGTGTTAAACTTCAATTCTAAATGCTGATAAATTCCTTTTTTGCACAATTAAACTCTCAGTTAAGAAAACATGTTTTGCATTATTTATCTGAATGACTGCAGGGGTCATTCCCAGTCTGCTCTTACAGAGAACACTGTGGAAAAGCTTAACAGGCAGTGTGCCCATTTTGCCAACCCTGCATCATTAACAGCTGACTCATCCAGTCCAGAACCTCCTGCACCTGCCAGAACTGGTGGATCCAGTCCAGCAGCTCACCTGGAACCATGCTTTGACCATCCACGGCGACCGGGGCTCGCCTGTCCCTCTGGGACTCCTTCTGGCCGGCCTTCTTCTGCCTGGCTCTCCTCTCCTCCTCCTCTTTCTTCTTCTTTTTCTTCCTCTCCTTCTCCAGCTCCGCCTCGTTCATCAGGTCGAACGGGTCKGCGGCGTCGTCGTCGAGGAGGTCGCCGAACCTGTTCGCCACCGCGCACCCGAAGGCGTCTTGCAGCATGTTGTTCGCCTGCCTGTGACGGGAGAGCAGAAGAGTTCAGGAGCAGCAGCTGCCTGACATGAACCACCTGCCGCACCAGCGCTGAACACCCAACTGAAGGAAGCACCGTCCCGGCTCCGGGAGAAATCACTTGAAGAAAAAAAAAAAAAAGCTCCGCGCTTTGTCGGCAGCTTTTAAACGTTTGCACGTGCGGAAGCGACGACACGCCCACGCGCTCATTAAATAGGCTGATCGATATGTGGCACTGCTCGAGCACTCAGTCAAACTGCGAGGGCGAAAATAAAG